ATGAGCCCGATCCGGTATTTTTCGTCCGCCCTTCGACTCCATTTTCGCCCTCGGTGCCTCGGGTGCGAGAAGGAGGGAGGTGCGGTGGAGGGGATGGCCTCTGACGACGATGGAGGGATGGATCCAGAGGGTGGATCCGCGGACCCCAACGACAAAAGGAAGGTGCGGAGGTGCCGAGGAGAGGGAAGACGAGCGTCGGCATGTGTGGATGCAGCGGCCTTCAGCAATTCCGTGTGCTCGGCAGAGACATGGGGAGGAATCAACATGTCGGCAAGCTTAAAAAGCAAGGCATGCGGGAGCCGACGACGGTGAAGGACCACGTAGGCAAGGAAGAGGGAGAGGTTCCCCTGCTCCTCTTCCAAGATATCGAGGGCCTCGGGAGGGAGATCTGCATGGTGCTCCATCAGTAGACCCTGGAGCTGATCGGCCAGGCGTCCCCCCATTTTTACTCGTCCTGGCGCTCTACCTTCCTAGGCCACTGGGTTATAGCTCCTCCAGCGCGCGTTGCCTCCCTGGGCTCGTCACTGTGGTCCAAATGCACGAGGAAACAACACATCGATGTTGAGACGTGGGAAATTGAGATAAGCAAACTAATACGAATGTTTCTTTTTGGTCCCAAAGGCGCTCTGTACACCAACGGCACCTTCAGTAGGAAGTGCACCGGAGGGGAGGGGGGGAAATGCAAGGAGGATACAGGCCGTCGAGTGGCAGCCGAAAAGACATCGCGCTCCTTTGCAGACCCACGGCTTCATTGTAACGCGGTCTACAAACGAGATTCGGGCGTTATCATGGCCCAGACCGGCCCCTTTGCCGTTTTGTCCTCCCTCTTCCTGCTTGCAGTAGAATATGCTCCGTGCGCCTCGCTCAATCGCTGAGACCTGGCAGACCTCCTTGCCTCTTTGACCCAAACAACTGAAAAGTTACACTCGACACCCACACCCAGGCCGTGGACGGAGGTGTAGCCAGTGCTGTGAGCTAGCATTGCCGTCGTTGGTGTACAGAAGTATGCGAACCACCATGCACTTGCGCCGGTGTGCGTCCCTCCTGGTGACTCCCCCCACCATGGGACCTCGGTGCGCCGGACATCAACATCGACTGTCCCAACGCCCTCTGCCATACTCCATGTCCTCGTCCCGTGCATGGTTCTGCGTACACACCATCTCCGAGGATGAAAAAAGCGGCGCGCCTTTGCAATCGGGGCCCCTCCAATTCTACTTTAAACCACCCGTGTCCTCCGCTTCCTCCCCATCGGCGAAGGTTGCAACGTCTCCTTTTCTTCGTCAGACCCATTCCACCTTCAACAAGAGCATGAAATTGATAAACCCCTGCCGTCTCACGCTACGTCCCTTCTTTTCTGGCCGTCCTACCTCCCTCTCCTCCACGGGCCCGCCCTCGTCTTCCCCTCCCTCCGGTCCCGCCCCCCCCAAACCCACGTGGAAGGAGCTTTTCAAGAAGTACGGCCCCGCCTTCCTCGTCTATTGGAACGGGGTATGGATCTTATCGGGGATCACCATCTATGCAGCGCTAGAACTGGGGGGCGTGGACCCCCTTCCCCTGGCACGTGCTGTGCATTTGGACGCCTTGATTGATTTGGAGAAAATCGATCCTTCGCACGGGAATGTGGCCGTGGCCATACTTTTGAACGAGGTGGTGGAGATCGTACGCTTTCCTTTTGTCCTGGCGACGGTGCCAAAGGTGGGTCGGGCCACGGGAGGGGGAAAGGAGGGAAGGAGGGAAAGCGCCTCTCCACGACACC